GTTGTTCGAAAGCCGGATTTGATGGTTTTCGGCGTWAACATAACATCGAGGCACTGATCGACAAGGAGCAGCACATGATGCAGATCGAAAGTGACCCTAATGTTGGACTTTTTCCATGCATCATGCTTCACGGTCATYATGCCTTTAAATGGTGCAAATACYRCAACATCTAGCGGCTGCATTTTGTGCGTGCATTTCGGCGGAAAAGACAGCAACGTGATGCCATGATCCAACGCCAAATCTATYGCCTCGATCGATAAATGCGAACCGTGGTTGTCCAGTAGCAACATGGTTGGCGAATCGGCATTAGCACCGGTGTGCTTGATGAATGACGCATGAATTGAGGGAATACGTCAGAATTCATGTAACCAGAACCGTTCGCAACACCAACAGCGCCATGACTCGCATGAGTCATAAAAATCTCTTTCMTGTTGACTCGGGGAAAGAGGAAGAATGGCGGTATAGACTGGCCACTAGCGCTGACGGCCAAAGCCAAAGACACATTGGTGCCTTTTTTGGCAGATGTTGATGAGCCGACCTGCTTTTGTCCTTTGCGCGCGATGGTTTTGACAGGTCTGGTTGGCACGGTCGGGCACTCGGTTTCATCCATGTTCCATATTCGGTGACATTCAAGCGGCGTCTTACCGAGAACGGATGAAAGATTTGCAAAGAATGCATCGACATTCTCTTTGTTKAATCGCTTCGCACGGCTCTGGCTTACTTGCTCTGGTGTTCGCAGTGACAAATTTTTGTGGCGTTTCATGAACACCAACTACCAATCCTTACTCGCCTGTTGATTGTCGTTCCATGGATCCGGATACGACGCGCCAGCTTTCCGAGCGAATTCATACGCGAGCTTACGAAGCTCCATCAAACTAATTCCATAGTTGATGTCGCTGRCCTGGAGAATGTAGCTTATCAGCGCCTTCTCTTGTTCGATGTTGAAGATCTGAAATAAAAAAAAAAATTATTTATTATTCGATGACAGAAAAAGAAAGAAACCAGCAGAATTCACTGTTTTTGTGCCCATCGTCGTGCTTTCAGCCAGCAAATTCTTCATTACATCGGCATTGGCAGTAGTAACGTCGATGCTCGCACCATCAAATGCTGCAATATAACGCATCAGGTTGGTCCTCGGAATTTTGTGTGCCGTCGCAGATTGTCGAACGCTGTTGTGATGTATTTCCACCGACTTGATCGACTCCAAAATGTTGTCGAAATCAACAATTTTCTCTTGTTTGGGATAGTACCGCGGCATAATGACTAAAAAAAATTTTTCGGAGCACAAGACTATCAGCAAATGTTGAAAAACTATTGCGTTGGTGAAATTCTGCACGAAAAATCTCTTATACACGTCAAATATATGAAGTTAGCATGTCAAATGTAAAAAACTATGTGGCCCGACATTCCCCGTAATAAGTGCCCCGAGATTCCCAACCGCCCATATTTGCAAAATGGCGGTGGATAATGAACACAATGTAAATTCGTGCAAAATTTCTTTTGTGTGTCGAAGTCTAAAGGCTCATCTAATATTATAAACATATTTACCTGGATGAATTTATTGGAAAATGTGGAAAAAATCAACTGTACACAGAGTTGGAAAAAACTTTCGGAGTGTCGAATTTCTTTTTGTTGTCGCAGAGAGGTTATAACACGTGTTCACAGCTCGAGTGCTATATAGAAACTGAGCTTAGTGTGAGACGAGCCGATGACAGTTGGTTGCAGCTGTCAACCTATACTAGGGAAAAAAATATCGCGAGTGAGTTTGTCCCAGATTTGATAATACAGTAAACATTCTTAATCCTTAAATTTTGATAACTCTGATTCATTCAAAATGTCTATATGTTCTAGAAAAACATTTTTCTATGACGATAAAGAAAAGATACATCTCAAGTTTTATTACGTAAAATTTAAATTTAAATTTGTAAACTTTGTATCAACACTTGCATCAAATTAAACTATAATAACGATGATGATTCCAAATTTTCAGCAATAATTAATTATTATTATTTTCACAACCGTCATATGGTTTTATCAGCTCAAATGTAAATGTTGTAACAAGAATACTGGTGAAGAGAGCTAGGCTATTTTTAGAAATTTAAATATTCCTAATTTGTAAGAATCAATTCTTTGTGTTTGAAAGCGATCATTACTATTAAAAATATTACCACAATATAATTGTAAAAATCATTTTTAAAAGCTGATATTTTATATCAACAAAATAGTTATTTCAAAGCGAAAACTTATCAAAAAAGAAGTAAGACTTATTCATGTATTTAAAATAAACAATCAATAATTTACAATTCGGAATGGGAAGATATTGGAATATAAATATCTACTGCAAGGTCATATGCACTTCTACATATCCTTATATAGAAGGGAAAATACATTTGCCAGTAAATATAGTTTGACATTATTTCTTTTCTTGCAACAATTTAAAATTCCTTCTGTTCCCAGAGCATTTTTGTAATAACAATAGAAAAACAGAAGAAGCGTTAACTTCGGCTGCACCAAAGCTAATATACCCTTCACAAGAGCATTCCTTTGTGTCTAGTTTGTATGGAATATGTGCTATAGTTATCAGATCTGAACAATTTAGCGGAGATTATGGTATTACCTTAAGCAGTATTCCATGTCAAATTTCCTCAAGATACATTGTCGAATGTGAAAGTTTTCCATACAAGCCCTTGATTCCGATCGATATCGGCAGTTCTGAGAAATGAGAAGCTTCTTGAAGAGAAAATGACGTTTACAAAATTTCAAAATGATGCCTGAAAATACTTTGTATATATACAGACAGACAGACAGACAGACAGACCGACGGACATGGCTAAATCGACTCAGCTCAACATACTGATCATTTATATTTGACAAAATTAATATACCCTGTATTATTGCAATAAATAAATATACAGATATAGTATATAAATAACAATGAAATTGAATCATGAAAAAGCATAAATAACTAACAAATATGTGAATACACAACTTCTTTAGCAAATGGAAATGAAGTGAAAACAAATAAATTTTAAACTACACGCACAAACTATTAAAATGTCTGTTTTAAATAGTTTATTACAATATTTTGATAAGATGAAATCATATTCGCTATGGGCAATATGAAATCGTGCTCGCTACTGAGCAATTTAAAGATGCGCAGAACAACGTTGGCCCCCAAATTTAAGTTTTAAGTATCAATATGTTTTTGTTATCGGTGCGAAAATGAGCTTCGAACAAAAAACCAACATTAAATTTTGTTTTAAAATTGGTAAAGCTTTTACCGAAACCGAAACGTTTCAATTGATGAAACAAGTTTATGGTGATGATTGCCTATCCCGTAGCAGAGTGCACGAGTGATTTTCGTTATCAAAGTGATCATGAGTACATAAATGACGATCAACATGTGGGCCAATCAAAATCCGTGATCACCAAAAATGCCATCGAAACTGTGCATTAGTTCATCAAAAATCAGCCGAATTCATCAATGAAATTCATGAAAATGAAATTGAACATCTCCGAAACATCGATATATCGCATTTTGACCGAACATTACGAACGGTTGGTCCCGCACAAATTGTCTGAAAATCACATTTTAACCATTAACTGTGGCCGTATTTACCTGATATGGCACCCTGCGAATTACGCTTCTTTATCTTAATTAGTCATTAGTTATAAGTTTTCAGTTAATAGCGGTTTGTGGGCATGGCAGTGGTCCGATTACACTCATCTACAAACTCTTATATTATCTTTATTGTATCGATATTTGCAAAATAATGAATTTACTTAAAAGAAAAAAACTGTTAAATGCCAATTTAAATTGCTGTTAATTCCACACCACTTTTCTTGTTTGTTTGTTTGTCCATAAAGAGAAATGAAAGTTCAGAAATAAAACAGCAAAAATAATGAAATTGACAGGATAAAAGTTATTTTCATGAAAGCTTTAAATGGATAGCAAAGTGAAAAAAAAATTAGATTTAGCAAACCGATAATATGATTTTAAGTGGCTCCTTTATTTTCACGCTTTTGCTTTGCGCACTTGCTATTAATTCACCTGAATGATATTTGCTGTTGGCTCTCAATCGCATCGATTTACGTTTGGTGTGAAAATTGTTAAAGGAAGTTTTATTTCGCGCTAGTTTAGCTTTGAGCGTTTCTGGCACCTTTTTAATGGTTGGCTTTCTACTTTGTGATTTGATTTCGTATCGTAGTTGGTTGCTAACGGCTATTTTATTTCTCTGAGAGTGAGGACAAACCTAATAGGTACGAAATTCGTATTCAGAACTTTAATAATCAGGATCTATTTCTGGGATTATCTAATACAAGCACATCCTCTTATTCTTTGGATTTGGGCTTCAAATCTTTGGAGTAGCGAATCGAAGAAAATATAAAATGTTTTATTTAATCCATAATATATATTGCATAAAATCAAGTGTGGAGATTGTGATATATGTATAATGTACCTGATTCAGGGAAACGAATTACATTTTTGAGGAGTCTAATCCTACATTTTTGCTATTTTTTTAGCTGACTATTTTACAGTTAACGATTTAAATTTGGCACTATGTAACATGTTGTTGTATTTGAATTTCTGATTTGCATTTTGAGCAGTAATTTACGAAATATAAATATTTGATTGTTTCATTTATCAAGTTGTTTAAAAGACAGAATTGACTCAATTCTAAACTTAAGCTTTCTTTAGTGGACCTGACAATTATTGAATTGTAATATCGAAAAAATGTATTGAAAGCTTAAATGGTTTCATTTCGAAGGACTCAATTTATATCTTTAGATATAAAAAAAAGTCAGCTTCACATGTGGCGTTTTAGGAATTTATACTTTACGTTTGTTATGATAGTTTCAAGAAAGTTAATTTTTGTAAAGAACCTATGCATGTAGTTGGTCTTTTAAAACCTCCATAAACTCAGCGTATAGATAAATAGTTCTTAGAAGAGTAATAGTAATAATAACTTAGTTTCTATCCACAGATGTATATATATAGCATATTCGATATAGATTTAATCAAATCTCCGCAATACCGGCGAAGTCCGTCGCTCCTTTTTATTTCAAGTCCTCTCAAAGTCTTTGAACATTTGAACTGAAAATTCACGTAGTTAAATCACAATTACATCGATGGAAACATTCAAAAGACCTTAATTCGCATTACAGAACTGAATGTGCCAGCGGTAAAATAAAACTGAATTTTCAGCGATTTTGCTTTTATTTTATACTTAATAAAAGTTTTATTAAGTTTAACATAAATCTAAACTTTAATTCGGAAATAAAGAGCATTAAGAAACACTGCAGGACTGAAGCCTACAGCTAAAGCCTTCTTCAAATGTAAGAAGAACAATAACTAAGTAAAAGTCTAAGGATTGTATAGGAAGTGGGGCGTAGAAAAATATGTGGAGAATAATAAAAAACTCTCTACCCACATTAGAAAAGTTGCAGGTAGTGTGCGATCGTCTTCCTTTGGCTCTAGCATCAGCATGATGATACATACTTCTCTGGATTGATGTAGCAACAGTGATTGTGTGTCATCACATATTGCTAATGGACATGAGCAGATCGAGTGTTATGGCTGTGTCCAAAGTTGGCATAGAAGTTGAGAAG